TCAAGGTCATACCCGTTATCCGAAAGACCTATGACTTTCGCTTCTGATGCCGAGCGCTTGGTGAAGGAACAGTCACTACCTATTACTTCTTAGGTTTGACGTGGCACCGGGAACGAGAATCGAACCCGGGCCGGACCTCTCGATCACAAAGGGAACGCTCTACCACTAGGCTACCGTTAACGGTCCTATTATGAAAAGTACACTTAATAGTTAGTCTTAAAATAAATCACCACCTTCATCTAAAGTTAATTGTTTATGATGCATTTTAATTCGTATTTTAGGTAATACAGGGATTTCTAAGAGTGGAGGATCACAGGAGTGGAACTGTTTCATTTACCCAACACCTTGAGCTGACTGATCAAGGGAAATATGAAGCAGTTTACAGATGAAAGTTCTGCTGGAAGCACAGAGATTAATACTGAACAATACATGTTTAACCTCTGTCCGGACTCATCATAACAGAAAGTATTTTCAAAATGTTGCAATCACGAAAATCTTCTGGGAGTTGGAAATCAGTCTTACAGAAATTGAAGATCAAGTAGGAACACTGCAGCAAATTTATATGCTACAAAATGTGAAAGTATTAGATAGTCTCAAAATTTATTGATACAAACAGTCAAATCAGGTAGAGTTGATGATGGAGTCCAGAGTGAGCCAACAGGAGAAAGCATGGGTTTGGCACTGGAGAGCAGAAGAAAGCAATACAATTCTCCAAGAAAGAAAAGGACTACTTGTGCATGATATGCAAAGAATGTGACAGAACAGGAAAATGCCCCGGTAGTGTCTTATTGGCAGATGAGCTGAAGAAAGTAACTGATAAAAATGGTGAAAGACTTTTTAAGAAAGACAAATAGCTAAATATTTCACAAGTAAGAGGATATATTGCCTCATATATTTGACAATAAAATCTAAGAGTGTCTCTGTACCTCCCTCTGTAAAAAGTCAATTGTTGTCTGAAAGTTGTTTTGAAGATGTTTGTATTGATGAGGATGAAAAACTTGCAGAGATTGTTTCTGCTTTAGACTCGAATGAATATGAAGATCAAATGACTTGTATGGTTTACATCTGTAAATATTTAGTAAGTTTATAACCTGTATAATCACATATTTTGAAAGAGGGGAATCGAGGATTCAGAAAAAATATATTGATATGTGGAAATTTTGATTTTATTTTGCAGTTGTTGAAGTGTTGAGTAGTAATTAAGCATAAAAATTTTATATTTCATGATAGTCATAAATTTGTGGGTCTCTCCATGCCCCAAATACATTGAAAATTACCCCCCCCCCCCACACACACACAAATTAGAACCTTGGAAATTAAAGGTTCCAATATACTGAACCATGGTATTGATTTTGACATTCTTACATTATGATCAAAAGTTTCATGATCATTAAAATGTTAGAATTCTTATTGTTACAGTATTTTCAGTTTGATGGGATATCAAAATGAGTTATTTAAATTTATAATCTCTGTTGCCTACATCACAATATGACTTCTAACAAAGAATGTATGAATCATTATAAAAGTAATTAGTTCCCAATACAGTGTAACATGTTTTGGAATCAACAGAGAATGAAATTAACTACAGTAACTGTAAACATGAATGTATTTTAAGTGTGTTTACTGTAACCAACATTATGTACATGACGTTCATGTATTACATACCATATATTGTAGAATAAGAGATCACAATGCTTATTTTGACCTTTATGCACTTGTTTTCTGAATTCTATTTTAGGAGAGCTATCACATTCAAAAGATGTGGAAAAATAATCAAACTTATTAATTTTTACAGAGGTTTGGTTTTGTTTACTTAAAACATTTACAATATTCTTTTCCTTACATGTTAAGTTTAAGAGATGTTAGAGGAATCATAATATTGTGTGTAACCCCCCCTCCCCCCACACCCAACCCTTTCTAATGGATTATTTTGATTTATAGAGGTGTTATCTATTGAACTGTAATTAATATGTTTAATTTTTAAAATACAGACATGAATGTTACCACAAAAAGATTTTTATTTAATGTTTTGAAAAGTTTTGAAGTATTTTATGTATAACACTTTAAGTATTTTTGATACCTTGAGTGTGAAAAATTAACTAACTTTGACATTCAATAAATACTAAAGTTTAAATTTGCCATCAGCAATTTTTTCATATTTTGTTCACATAATCATCCTTAACAATAAGCAGTAAAATTTACTAGATTAAAATTTCCATTATGGCAGTTAGTGTTATTTCAATTTATTAGAAAATTGACATTTTTTCAAAAATATGGAACATTGCCAATTTTATGACCTTTTTGCACTTAAACACAATGGATGTCAGTCATTTTTACTATGCACTTAAGAAGTACTTACCTGTGTTTTTTTATTTCATAATTAAATATTTTGATAATAATGAGAGTTGCAGTTTTAATTCTTCTCCAAATATGACTAAAAAGTATAAAATATGACCTGAGATTTTGTTGCATAAGAGCTATTTTTAGTAACAGGTCATATAAGGTATACCGGTATGGTTGGCACATTAAAAATTTGTCCAATTTCCATTCATGCATACTAGATTTAGCTCGCAAAATTTGAAGGCATTTGGAGAACCTTGCTACTGGACCATTTTGCATGTTTTTCTCTGAGACACGCTCTTAAAAAGCCAAGATAAATAAACTGAACATGTAACTTACATGTTATTTTCTCTCTGGAAGTAAACAATAATGATTTATGTTCACTGATTGCGTTTTGGTGAAATATATTTTTTCTTGGGTAAATGCCACTACTTTATATTGCAAATTAAGTATATACATGTAAGCTCAATATCTACACCTTTATTGGATAATTTCTCAATGTGAAAAAAAAAAATACCCAAAACATTATGTACTGGTGTAGAGAGGGTCCTAATTCTCATTTTTATTTGTTTAGCCTATTTTCTCAGAGATTGCAAATCAATACAGAAAATATTTCAACGAGCAAGCCCCTAAAAGTATGAACAACATATCTTATCAAATAGTTGACCTTGATCCTTGGAGTGGCAAGACTCAAGACCAAAGTTCAACAAGTTCAAAGTTGACTTTGATTCTGGGACGCGCAGGATTCAAATTCAAAGTTCAGTACATCAAAGCAATATGATTTTGACAATAGGGGCTGCAGAGGTCAAGGTCATTTTCAACTATAATGTTTCTCTAATGATACTGAAAGGAAAAAGAAACGCAGGAAAAACATCTGAGGTGAATTTAATTTTTTTTTTCAATTTATTTTTAGGAGTTCCTATTTAACTTTAAAACCATCTTTCAAAAAGATATTACCAAAATCCCATTGAATTTTGTCTAATAATGCATGAGTTATTGAAGCTCATATCTTGATACCCCCAAAAGTGAAAAAAGAAAACTTTCATTATCTTCAATGTCTTTCCTGCATCTCTGTGCACATATGTCATGAGCGTTATTTCTCCTTTGCATGAAATTCATCAGAGTCAACTATTTTGTTACCCGTCGTTGCCTTTTTCATAAATTAGGCAATTCGATAATCAGACCCCATTGAACTTTTGTAAACTGTACCAAAATTGCAAGAAAATTATATTGTCTCTAATTATTGAAAAACAATGAAAAACAATGTGTATATCTCAGGTGCATCAAAAGGTGCCACAAGATTTGTTGACAAACTTGTCGTTATCAAATTGCATATTTTAAATCCTTTTAAGCGTATTACCTACGTGACGCCATAGATCTTACGGTTAAGTAATTCTGAACACTGATTTTGGTGCATAGTAACTAAATGTCTCACCTGACCAATTTTTGTAATTTTCGGTCATGCGATCAATTTTTTTTTTCGAACATTTTGCTACCCTACGTCTCTTTTTTCTGTTAGTATATATTGTAAAATCCGCTTCTTACATCAAGTGACACAAACCATTGACGAATGATTGTGGATAGGTGGGGACCTTATTATTCTCAATTTTGTCAAATCTCAAAATTCATAATCTGGAAATCACTTTATCAAAAAAAAAAAAAAAAATTTGATTAATAATTAATATTAATTAATATCAATTTTCTTTTTCAAAATGCATATTTGTTTTCAAGATAATACAAATAGCTCAGTTGGGATTAATTGCAAGACTGAGATAGAAAACATGTAATTCAATGATGTTTATTTTTGTTAGATAAATATGCGTAAAATATCCTCAAACAAGTGTTTTTGTTTTTTCTGTCAGTAAATCCACCTGATAATGCTTTTAATTTGGTCATTTTAGGCTTCAGCCACAGTTTGCACTATATATAGTCTTAAAAACAAAAAGGTTATGAATCATGTGAAAAGAAAATACATTTTTGTTAAACTTAAATGAGCTTTCTGGATCAAATTTAGTTCGTTGTGTCGTCCTTTATATCAAAAAATTCTTTTCTTTTCAAGAAGCCTTCGCCATAAACATAGAATTACCGATATACTAGTTAGAAAATTTGTGTGTGTTTTTTTTTCAATTTCCAGACTTGCCGTAATGAGTATGATCAAATTCTTAGAATATTTAGAAATTTGATTATCAGATTTTTGAGTTAATAAAGGAGATTATTAAAAGTTTAAATCCAACCACCAAAATTTTCATTTTGGTCTGTCTGCATGTCTGTACTCTTGTTTTTCTCATTATATTTTCCGCGCGATATTTCCAAAGCTTTGGGGCTATTGCAATGAAATTTTACAAACTTTCTACTAGTATTACCTTATGAAGAATCCAGATTTATCTTAAGATCAAAACTTTAATATCGAGGTTGTAAATTTCTATAATCTTTCTTTAAAAACTTATTTTTCCGACTCATATCTCTGAAAGATCGAGTCATTTCCGTCTACTTCTGGTTTGTTCGTTTTGACTCTTGATTTTACTGTTATTTTCTTTATTTATCAAAAGGCTTTAGGTCAAAAGACATACAAGACCTTTCTAGTTATCATTCAACTGTATAAAATACGTCGATTCTTTATTACCCACAGATATTCCTTTTAATCTGTTTGCACTAAATCATCTAATAAAGTTAAGGGATCAGTTTTATGATTCGTTACTAAAAAATAGCTAGTTATAGTATTTCACATGCATCGGCAATAAAAGAACAACTCCTATGTGTGGAAAAGAACATTGTCCAACCTCAGAGTTAGTTGAATAAAAAAAGAATAACACTCTGTCTGGCTTTAATATGCATATTTATAGTATGTACATTCATATGGATAATATTATTTTTGAATATTGAATAAAACCAACACAAAAAAATACATAAACTATGTTTTTGCCTTCTTAGATGACCAATAAGAATAACAGTGTTGCAGGTGTTTAATGTTCATGTTACTCATAATAATGTTTAGATAGAGTGTCGTCTCATTTTTGTTTTAAGGTACGCTAGAGCATTGGAAATAAATATATAATCCTCATGTTCATATAGAAATGATTCAGGATAACAATCGTCGAAAATTCTATATTTCAATGTAGATATATGCCTCAATAAAGCATGTAAAATGGAGTTTGAATTGTCCATAATGTACCCAATTTGATGGGCAAATAAGCCTTTGCAGTGAACTCGACCAGTACCAAGAATAGCGAAATCAGGTTCAGTTCTCTCTAAGAAATCTTCATTTTCCAATATAAATGGTTTCAAGTCAGGTTTCTTGTGCATTCCTCTCTTAAACATGTGGTCTAAAATCAATTTCAGAAGCTGGATATTGTCGTTATCGATGCAGTTTTCAATTATAAAGTTTGACATTAAATCCCCGTGATCATTATTGAAACAGGCTATAAGCGCGCCGCAAAGAGGATTGAATTTTTCATATAAGACGATATTTCTATCTGTTCTGAGTCCTAAAGAGAGTAGATGACTTAATGATCCATATTCATCGTTTGAGATCACTTCATGGACCAGTGAGCTTTCACGACAATATAAAGTTTTTGTACTTTTTACTTCTACGTCATCCCCATTGTTAAGAAATAAAACTGACGATCGCAATTTCGTTATTATTTCGTATAAATGCTCATTTCCCTTTCCTTGTAAAAGACAATTTTCACCTTTTATCAAAAGATTCGTGATTTCTTTAAATCCCATCCAAAGGCTCATTTCCAGAGGGGTCATGTTTTCGTCATTTTCTAGTCTATATTCAAGGTATTTTCTCTGGAGTAAATTGATTCCTATACTATCATTTAACTTTACTGCTTCGTGAAGAGGGGTTGATTTTTTTGCATAATTGAACATAGACCTACAGCTTACATTTACATCTGCTCCCTTGTCAATCAAAAGACTCACTATCTCTGAGTGTCCATAACGAACAGCTGCAAATAAGGGAGATTCGTCAAAATCAGTGCATTTATTGCAATCGGCCCCTTTGTTCAGCAGGAACAAAACAATTTCTAGAAACCCTCTTTCTGATGCAAGAATTATTGGAGTCCTACTACATTCATCTACGAAATTACAATTTGCACCCTTTTCAAGGAGAAACTCAAGAACAAAAAGATGACCTTCAGCTGTAGCGATACAAAAAGGAGATTTGTCTTTGTTCTTATAGATTGAATAATCAGCCCCGAACTCGAATAAAGTTTTAACCATGTCTATATTCCCGTTTTTTGATGCAAAATACAGTGCTGTTGTTCCATCTTCCGTACGATAATTGCAATGAGCTCCATTTGTCAAGAGAGATTTTACAGCGTCAGTATTATTCAACTTTGCTGCAAAGACAAGAGGAGGTGTCCCATTTTCACATCTATTCAGATCAGTTCCAGCTTCTATAAGCGTCTTAATGGTATTTATTTCGGATGTGTATATCGCAAAATCCAATGGAGTGTTCCCATTTGCATCGCACACATTCACATCGGCCCCAGCTTTTAATAGGATGTCAACTATATCAACACTCTTCAGCAAGACAGAAAGTATCAACGGGGTAAATGGCGTATAAAAGCTTATTCCATCACTGTCTTTCTCTTTCAGGCATGGATACCGGTTTATACAGGCAGGGTTTGTATGATTTAAAATAAACCCAACAATGTAAGCATTCCTTGAATAACAACCTAGGAGAAGATATCTTAGTTGGCTTTCAACTTCAGTACCAAACACAGCCCCTATATCTGTATTATTCAAAGACATTTTGTCATGTAGGTATCGTAAAATTGCTTCGTGCCCATAACCAACGACCCAGCTAATCAATCGAATTCGACAATTCCTTGGGAAAAGGAATGCATAAGAATCATCATGAATATCTTCCTCATCTAATTCAATAAAAATATCAGAGGGATCCTCTATTAAAATAGACAAAGGTAATTTGGCGAATTCCTCTGCATCCAGATTTTTGCGACATGGAAAAGACACAGCTTGGGAATCTTTGAAATCTGATATAGGAGACAAAAACATGTCTTGAACATTTACTTCTTTATCATCTGTCAGTGCCAAAAGAAAGTAGTTGCACATTTTTGCATTGTGGAGAAACTCTGAACCAAACACGTTATAAAGTTTGAGGTCTTTTGTATCTCTATACAGTCTATTGGCTAGTGTAATATAATCACACTCTGGGATTTTAATGGTTAGAATGTCTCCCTCTGTTTCATTCTCTAAGGTTAGTCTTCGTGAAATAAATTCACTGGACAAATTGTTGATGATTTCTCTTGGGAATTTTTTTCCGAAGTAACAAGCAACAATTTCAAATATCAAATCATGCAAAAATGAAAATCCACCCTCGCTTTCTTTCAGATATGTTCCATCTATCTGTACTACAGCATTCATTATCTCCCAATTATCTGTCCCATTTTTTACTCTACAAAATTTAAAAACATTTTCTTTAAGGACCCTTTCATTTTCCAAGGCATTTTCAGAAATACGTCCAGCGTTCAACATGCAAAAAACTAGAGCTGCATAGCACAATCGATTTTCCTTTTCCATTTCTTCCAAATGATCAAAAATAATCGGGTATGGTTCTTTAAAAAAACAAGTACCCTTGTTTCTGAAGTCTGCATTCGCTGAAAACATTTTACAAAGCAATGGAAACATAGGAAGCATACAATTTTCTGTGACATAATCTTGCAATTCTAGTCCAGAGAAATCAGTGGCATTGAAATATGCGGACAAAATAGATAACTTGTCATCTTTCGTTAATTCATTTTCATCGTTCCCAAGATCAAATACAGTTTTCGGTAAAATTCTCTGATATTTCAACTGATTAGCCTCAATGAGAACATTTTTCCGACATGTTATCAACAATTTTGACTTTTTATCAAGTATATTTTGAATCGATTCAAAGTTTCGTCGGAATTCATTGTAGAGCTGTTCTTCAAAACAAATAGCCCCGAAAATGTTATCAAGGACAAAAATCTGTCCTAATTCAGGATCCCCGTAGGATATAATATCCCCTGGACAACGTACAGGAATTACTGTGAAATCTAAATCTAGATATTTGATTGCAATATGGCGAGAGGTTGCTGTTTTACCACATCCTGGCCCTCCAGTTAATATAGTGATATCACTTTCACTGATAGTTTGCATCAAATTCTGGAAGAAATGAGGTTCAACGTATTTTTCGTCTTCTTTTCTCCAATTGTCAAGAGTCTTTTTATGTTGTTCTAAAATAAGATAGGAGAAATAGACATTTGTTATAAATAACACATCTAGTAGAACTCTTTGAAAGATTGTGATTTTTACAAGTATCTGTGCGGCTATTAAATTGTATAAGTACTGTTGTTCAGAAAAGAAAAATTCATTCTCAAAACAATTTTTCATAATACTCACTTTGAATATTCTCCGGAATATTTGAGCTAGTCTGAATTTCTTGTACTGCAGTTTTCATCTTTCTAAGATCACCTGAAGCAAAAGCGAATGTATATGTTATAAACTAGCTGTGGTTTATTTTCAAATTACTAGAATCAAACCAAATATTTTTCAGAGATATTTTCCCTTCAGTTTTTTTTTTGTTTTGTTTTGATTCTTTTTTTTTTGGTAATTTCCTTTTAAAATTATCTACCAAGAGAAATCTTAGAAGTAATATTATTGTTCATTTACTCATTGAAAGGAGAAACTGAAAATTTGATCGATCATCTCTCTTAATACCTCTAAAATGTCAACATTATGCTATATATCGAAACTATAAACTATTTAGAAAACTTGTCAAGGGTACAAAATCGGTACAATGCAAAATATCAAATTTATAATTCTATATATACTGAACAAAAAAAAAGAAACGCATAATCAGAATGATTTGAAATTCTAAGTTTTCAGTTTAAACCTTGTATTATTTAAGCGATTTTAGAGTGTGTTGTGATAAAAATCAATGTTGCAAATTGAAAAGTCAAGTTGAATTCATTTTCATTGTCCCAAAATTCAAGGGGCATAATAATATTGACTGTGCAAAGTCTCAATGTTAGTGGGTTTCCAATGTACAGATATCGTAGGGGAATATCATCTCATTTTAGTTTCATGCGAACAATTTATGCATTTTTATGCTGATTTTTTCATCCAGCAATTGTAGCAGCAGTTTTTACAGCAAGTTCTGAATCGCATGAGGTGATGAAGGGGGAGGGGGGGGTGTCTGACGGTCCTGCCTGGTTGTGGTTACCTGTGGATGTCCAGAAAGTGCTCTTCAGACGTTAGTTTTAAGGTTGCAAAGCCCATTGATTTATTTCAAATACAGTTGAAACTTCCTGTTGCGTAGCTCCATTTAGTATCATATCGTTAGCCTGGTTGTATTCATCTTTGTTTGGGTGTGACATTGCAGTATTAACACTGCAATCAAATCTTAAATATGGGTTTAATAGAAGTGTTAAAAGTTTCTCTAAATCCAAAATATCAATGAAAATAGAAAATATTATCTGATTTAGAAGAAATCATGAAAAACACTACTTTCATAAACATGTGTAATCAAGGGAGATAATTCAACACTTGGGTTTTAAAACCCCCTGTTGTCCTTTAAATAGGACAAAGGTATCCAATGATATAAAAAATAGTTGTTTCATTGTTAGTCCATTATTTATACACTGAATTGACCACGGATTTTTCCGTTATATCCTGATTATGACAACGAGCACACGGCGGGTGTGACCGGTCGGCAGGGGATGCTCACTCTTCCATGGCACCTGATCCCACCTCTGATGTTTCGGAGGTCCGTTTTTGCTCTACTCTTATTTTGTATATTTGTTTAATGGACGTTGAGATTGAATACTGTTCGTTATTTCCATATCCTTCTTCATGTACATTTTAAAAATTTCTTTGACGAGTAAAACAATATGCGTTTCTTTTTTTTGTTGAGTATATATAAGTTGTCACAAACGAAAAGGAGAAACAGACAGACCCCGCTTAAAGGTATCATGAGTGTGTGGATCTGTTAGCGACACAAGAAGAATGCTGCCTTACATATACTCACGTTTAAATTTCTTTATTTCTTTTTTACACTGTATCTCTTCCTGGTTTTTTCTCTTAAGTTCTTTTTTCAAACGGTTAGTCTCATTTGGATCCATCGTCATGTATTCTAATGGGACCATTGCTCTTCCATATTTTCCTCCATTTGATAAAATGTTATCTATGTCTTGAATAACTCGCTTCATATTGGTCCAGATATCTTGAAAATCAACATCTGATATTGACATTGAAAAATTATGACTAAACTTATTTCTAAGTATTCTTATCCGTTCGATATTTGCTGCCTCAGAAAAGTCGTTGGGATCCGGGTCTTTGCCCCATCCATTCTTATGGGGCGGTAAACCGGAGAGATTACGTAACAAGGTATAAAGGAGTGTGACGTCAAAATCAACATAGTTTGGACTGTAAACTCCAGATTTTGGGAGTAACAAATCAGTTTGCATGATGGATAGTTTATTTAGATACGGTTTTCTTTTCTGTCTTTCTTGCTGTAGTTTTCCAAACAGAATGTGGGGAGGAATGTGGTGAGCCAGTAAATCCCGGAACTGGTCGGTACACGGACCAAACAGTAAATGTAACACACGAGAAGCATTTGTTGTTTCTTTTGTTGTTTGATAATTGGAAGAAGAAGACGCCATGTTACTCGACAGAATAGACACGAGACGTTATTTTCCTATACATCCAATACACCAAAGCATATGTATGATTCACTTATGTCTTTAGTATGGTGTATGACATCCAATTCACTATTGCGTCTTATTAAAAACACGGACACATTCAATATTTGTAAGATACCAATGCTGAATGTCTAAGGGTAATTTCAACCCTTATAGCACAAAGTCATTTCTCTCAAAAACTCAGTCGAAGATCTGTATTGCAAAATGGCCCTTCTTCGTATATCCTTTGTAAATGCTGTCTCGTGACACCACACAATGTTAAATGCAAATCAGACGACGCTTTTTAAGTCTACAAAACAGCCATTTAAATTTCCTTGTCTATATTTTAATAACAAAGAGTACAGCTCAGTGTCGGTATAATACTTATTTGATTGACTCATCGATTATATTCTATCTTTGAATAACTGTAAACAACGATAATTTTTTTCTATATCTGAATGAGTGTCGAATCGCAACGTAGGTAAATTGGATTTGAAAGGCAGAACATTATTAGTTATGTAGACACTTAGAGGGGTAATACGGAAATATGTGGGGTCCTTGAAAAAATCCATATCGGGCGAGGCGTAAGCCGAGCCCAATATGCATTTTTTCAAGGACCCCACATATTTCCGTATTACCCCTCTAAGTGTCTACATAACGAATTTCTCCTGCCGATGGTTCACTAAAAGATTAAATATTGATAGTGTCGAAACCGCATTCACTGAACGTCCAAGCAAGACGTTCTACATCAATTGCAATCGGAGTTCCTCGGATGACTCGTACCTCGCACATAACCTCGGACGTCAAAGGTGATCTTCCATCTTGCTGATTCAGTCATGTGATCTTATTTGAATTTCATTCAAATATTATACTTTTGAAATCCGAGTTACTTTGATGCACGCCCAACACTGTGTTCTTGCTTTCAAAGAATACTAACATTTGGTTGTAATTAACACGAGGAATTACACTAATAAAGAAACCTTTTCTAAAACCTTTAGGCAGAGCGAAATATGAAATGAGTGACAAGGCAGTTTCCGGCGGAGAAATGTAGCGATCTGTTGCGTATTCCTCCACCTATCACATCCGAGGTTTGAATGGAGCGTAGCGGAGTCAGCCGAGGATTGCCGATTGCATCCATTGTACGTTGTCATCAGACGCATTGTGACGTCAGTTATGAAGCTCCATGCGGGTCCCATGAAAGCAGTATATTGATGATGTGTGGTTGGTAAATTTTTAATGTATGGTGGGTAGGTCACGTGGAGGGGGCACATTAGCAATGTGAGGTAGGTAGACAGCATAACATCGTTTCATGCAGTATTGCTCTCGGCCAATGAAATTTCACGATTCTTATCAGAGGCAGGATAAAGAATGTTGTAGAAATCCCTGGGCTATTTTCTTGACTAAGTTTTACTTCAGCAAATCTGAAAAGACACAGAACCACAAATGACTTTTACTAAAATAACAATGTATTTCATGAGGTCAAATACTTTACATAAAAAAATTGTGATTGTCGATACTCAAGCAAAGTTAAACTTTGGTTTATTTGGCTATCATCATTAGGTCAATAGTTACATGAGAAAATCAGTTAAAATCATTTTACATTCTTTAAGTAGGTGGTCGAGATGTAATGGTCGACGATATTATTTGTTAATAGCTCATACCCCAAATTAAAAAAATATGACTCAGATTACTTCATATAATCATATATATTTTTCCATTATAATTTGTAAAAAAAAAAAAAAAAAAAAAAAAAAAAAAAGGAGCTAGGGGGATTGTTAAAATGAAAAATGAAATATATACGTGCTACCTAATTAAATATTAAAGTTAATTCTAAATATAATTCTGATGATTTGAAATGATATGAAATATTATGAAAATTTGGATATTTGGATCTTATTTTAGCTTCTTGGTTTTTTTATATGTTTGCGCGTGATATGCAATCAATCCCTCGAATATATTATGTTAAGATGACACACTAAATTCCGAGTCTTCAAAGACATGCTTTTTATGACATATCATATCATAAGCTCATCTTCATACTAACTGAAACTTAAGAAAAATGCAAATTTAAGGGGGAAAATTTGCATCCTCATTAACTTTTAAAATAAAGATGATGCAAATAAGAATATCTGTATAAGAAATATAAAAAAAAAATTATATGTTAGGCAATTTTTTTTTAAATTATCTACGGAATTTCCTTGTACAATGAAAGGCTTACAATGATGACATTGCATAAAACAAAAGTTCTATTACGTTGAACGTAATACAGTTAAATAATATATAATAATTCTTTTTTGACTTTTCATTTACTTAAAAATGTGAAGAGGACGTGGTTACTCATTCAACAACATCAATGGTAGATTTAAAATAATAAAGGAGTCGAGGACCTTTATTTTTAAAATTCTGCAACATTTTGAAGTTGTAAATTTTTAATCTGGATTCTAACTATGCAAATTAAACTACTTGAATCAGAAGAAAAAAAAAACATTTCAATTCAATTCAAATAGGATTAATCAAAATAAATTTTGTGGCATTTCTTAAACAAGATATTGGTCAATTTTACCCGTTAGAAATATATATATGTGTATATAGGACTGTTAAGTTGAGATTTCTTATTTTTCCATGCTGGTTGGACATTGTTGTTGTAAGTGAAATATGTAAAGGGCTGGTTTTTGAATTATTCTAGGTTAATTTCAGCAACTTTATTTCTTCTTTTTACTTATTTTCTACTGTATTCAGATAAAGGGATAAACTCGATATCATAATGCAAACAAATCGATCTTCAATCATCCTAAAACCCATAGGGCTATGGTGCCTAATTCATACATGTAGCTAATGATATTTTTTTTATCATGCATTTGCAAGGATAAATAGATTGCCCTTGCAGATTCTTCTAT